TGTGACGGTTATGGTCACGAGGGCTGGATGTCACATGCTCGCTTAGCGAGGCGCTAGCGCGCACGACCTGTATTTAGTTCCCAGCTCTCTCGAGCTCTCCTTCTTTCCTCGTCTTTTGTCCTAAGAATAGAGTGTTAATTGTTCTGAGTTCTACCTGAAGCACGTCTGTCACATCTTCTAGCTGAAACGAAACTACCAATTAATTAAAATTTATCTGCCTGGCGCAATTAGCCTGTTCAATTTTGTTAAAAGAGATTAACTATTTCCATCTTTCGCAAGATGGTTCAGACTAATTCTCTATTTCCATCTTTCGCAAGATGGATCAGACTATTTCTTCATGACTTTCTTTTCTTTTATATAATTAAATCCACGCGAGATTAGAGCAAACTTTCTAGGGAATATATCTCTTACTATTACCCTTACCCTTACTTGTTCTGGAAGTGTCATGCCTACTTCTTGGGAGGCTAACCATTTCTTAGAAGTAGAGAGGGCTCACAATTTCTTAGAAGGAAGCCGCGGACTGGGCTGGGTACCCTCCTCCTTTTGCCTTGCACAGAAGCAATGGTCGCATGCAAAGAAGTAGCGGACGAAGTAGCCCCTACTTCTAAGAAATTGTGAGCCAGTACGCATAAGAAATACTCTTATTATTTATTACTTACTCAACCCTTAACACCATAAGCTCCAACTCTTCCTGGCGCAATTAGCCTGTTCAATTTTGTTAAAAGAGATTAACTATTTCCATCTTTCGCAAGATGGTTCAGACTAATTCTCTATTTCCATCTTTCGCAAGATGGATCAGACTATTTCTTCATGACTTTCTTTTCTTTTATATAATTAAATCCACGCGAGATTAGAGCAAACTTTCTAGGGAATATATCTCTTACTATTACCCTTACCCTTACTTGTTCTGGAAGTGTCATGCCTACTTCTTGGGAGGCTAACCATTTCTTAGAAGTAGAGAGGGCTCACAATTTCTTAGAAGGAAGCCGCGGACTGGGCTGGGTACCCTCCTCCTTTTGCCTTGCACAGAAGCAATGGTCGCATGCAAAGAAGTAGCGGACGAAGTAGCCCCTACTTCTAAGAAATTGTGAGCCAGTACGCATAAGAAATACTCTTATTATTTATTACTTACTCAACCCTTAACACCATAAGCTCCAACTCTTCTATTAGCAATTTAAATGCGTTTATTATACTAATTAGTATCGGATTTAGCCTGTTTTATTACGAAAATAAAACGGAAGAATATAAAGAATTATCTCATGCATACTTCGTAAAGGCAGAAAAAGAATATTCACACGTAGATGATTAAAAAGGACGAATTACACTATATTCACAGCAATAAATACTACTGTGGTGTAAGAACTATTACATATTTCGGTAAGATTCACATGATGACTACATGATGTACACAGTAATAGGCTCTGACGCCTTTCTGACGCATATTGTGACTCCTTCTCCCTCCTTATTAGCTGAACCTTCTTCTTACTCTTCTCGTTCTTTCTACTGTTTTGTTTTTTTCTCTTAGATAATCTTCCAACTTGTGCCACAGGTTTGGCATAACACTTTTTAGTATGAATTCTGAAATTCTCCTTCCCCCCGAGTTTCCGACGCCGGGCTACCCCTTGATTGATATTCTTTGCTGTCATATCCCGGTTATGATCTGTGTCAAATTTTGTTTTCTCTATTCAGTTCTGTGGAGCGTGTCTTTCTCTTCTATTCATGAGGACCTGATGATATTGCTGATAAATAGAGCTAGCAACTTGCCTCTTCATTTCCGAGACGCTGATATCTTTATAAAATAGCGAAGAGGAGAAGTTGCTGGGATAATATGCTTGTTCTTAGGTTAAATATGGAAAAGAATTGGATCAATAGGGAGATATATGGCTCCTTGTAGCACTCATTTAACCCCTGACTGAAATTAAAAATATAAGAAACTCGAAAAGAGTTTCAGTCTAGATTCAAAACCTCAATCAATGGCACATGGCACATGACCTACCTCGTCGCGTTATATGTACATTTGGATTTTTAGGTTTGAGCCATCCACTTTTAGTCTTGGTACTAAACAACACTACAACTTAAGTGGTGCGGAGCAAGTCGGACCAAGCCTCGTAGCGTACCTAGGCGCTATTCCGACCGGTCCGACAGCTCAACTAGGAAATCGTAAACCTTAAAATCCAAATGTACATATAACGCGACGAGGAGATACAGCAAACGAGCTATGAAGACTTGCTCTATTGATTCAGAGTCTTACGATACATTGAAAGGTGTAAAGTAGTTTTCATTGTTTTCCTATTTCTAATACATCTATGCGGAGTTTATTGCGTGGCATTGCCTCAAACAATCCAGTTTGGGCATGTGTACTTTATTTTTAGGAAACAAAAATAACACTTGATCTGAAAATCAGCTCGCTCTGACCCAGAAATTCAAGAAAATGACAGATCAGAGAATCCCCTAGAGCGTCCTGTATGTACAACAAAGAAGGTCTAGTATAGTCTTACTCATATAGAGCGTGCCATAACCCTTGACAATTGATCAAACGCGTCAAAGTCTGGTTCGAAGTCGGGCTCAAAGTCGTAGACCTGAAAACTGTCCGGATCTTCAAGATACTCCGCCTCGTCTCTCTCTGCCTCAGCCTTCCGTTCGAATGCCAAAGCGACGCCCTCTCTTAACTCCTCCATGCGCTCTTTTTCCCATCCTGATTGACCTTCTGTACTTGCATAGGCATCGCGATCTTGAACAGCTTGTGCGTATGCGAAGCGAGCGAAATCGGCGTTGGTGACCATAGCGGGAGGAAGTGGTTCGTTGGTAATGTTTTGAGGGGCGGCTAGGAAGCTGAGATTGTATTGTAGAGACTTTTCGTTGGTAGAGGCGAGAACAGGTTGGCTTGGTGGTGCTTCTTTTTGCGAAAACTCATTTTGTAGATTCTCTGAGAGATCGTGGGATAGCTCAGAAGATGCAATTACAGTCTCTTGAGTCCCTGAGACATCAACATCAGTATCAATATCCATAGCCTCTTGTTCAATATCCAATGATTCTTGATCAACATCCATTGAGTCTTGGTCCGCATCCATCGATTCGTCTTCATCATGCTCGACATCCGAATCCGTACCCTCATCCGCGTGGTCAGGTTCTCCGGAATCCACTACGATGGCCATGTCCTCTCCGCCCTCAACGCGTGAAGACGGTCCCTCGCCAGCATCAGCAGATTCCCCCAGGCTTCCTTTGATCGTATCGTCCTCCTTCTCTTGATCATTTTTGAAAAGCTCAGGTTGCTCAATCTTCAATCGCCTAAGACGGCTTTGGATTGCGATTGAGCTGAAGATTCTGGTTGGTTCGGTGCCAGTCTTTTTCTTGCGTTTCTTCATCTCCAAGTTCATCGTATCGGCGCATTTCTGCCAGGTACATCCTCGCTGAACCTTTTGGGATTGTCTTGCGAGAAGCTCTAGCTCTTCTTGACTCCACGGTGTAGAGATCTTTGGGGGCTTTGCGGCTTTTGTGGCTTTTGTGTCCTTCTTGACGGCGTCCTTCGTGACCTTGCCTGCGGTTTCCTTTTTTGTGGCGCTTCCAGCCTTCCTCACAACTTTCGTAGCTTTCGGCATGTCGGATGGGTGGATGAATCGTTATGGGTCAGATCGATTCCGATTGTTGTGTTGTTGTGGGAGTGTTGTTGTGGGATTATCGGAAGCGAGGGCTCTACTGGAACGCGACATAGAAGTTCAGCGTACCGAGAAAGGTATTGTGCGTTGTGGTTTCTGGTCGGAATCGGAAATTAAAAGTGGATCCACTGTTAGCTAGGGTAAGATAGAGTCATTGCAATTTCCCGTTAATTCCACCATTCACTCAGACACGTTTTTGCTATTATGACAGCATCCTCTTTCGTGATTTCGCACGTGTAAGTCCTAGTTATTATACCACGTAGATCACAAAGAGTCATTCTAAGAAAGATAAGGTTTATATACTTTGCTATTCTTTGGCTATTCACAATATTGAAGCGTTGATTGCTTCAATGAGTTCTAATGTCAGTTACATTTGCGCAAACCTTTTAGGATACTAGTTTCTTGACTTGTAAATGTCTAGAATAATGGCAACGTCTTATAACAAATCATATCTATCTAGAAGATAGTTTCTAGAACTTTTCATGATCTTTCAATCCTTGCATATTTTGTGTGGCTAAATATTGTTCAAACCCTTGTGTCTATGAAGCTAACATAGAGTGAATAGGACAGATACACATGACTTGAATATGAGTCCCAATATATTAGCCCCTGAGCTCTACAAATTACACACATGTCATTGTCTATATTGGCCTCAGTCAGGGAAGAGTCTGAATTTATCACACAATCATCCTCCTAAGATGTAACAATGTAGTTGGGTGGTGTCGGTGCGACACATCTGCAGTAAGGGCGACTTACGTCCAAAGGTTTTATCAGGCATAGATTGTCCGTTGCCTGTGAAAGTTAAATTATAACTAACGAAGAATTGAAGGACAACCCCTTTAACTTTTGCTGTTTCTTTGGTTGATTTTCAAAGCTTTTGGAGATGGAGTTTGCTTTGGTGTTGATATTTGCTTGACACTCTACCCAAGCCTTGTGGATGTGTTATCACCTCTGTGCAAGGCAAAAAAGTATTCACTAGACAACTTTTAGCTGAGGACACGTGGAACTTTCCAGTAAAGACACAAATCTTCTGAGTAGGCTTCTATCACAATATAGTAGGAAATTGAATATGACCTCTATACAACTTCATGTTTTGTTTGGTGTGTTTTGCATAGTCTTCTTTGCAACTTGTATTCCTTTGAGTACTTTGATAACAATTTCTAAAATTTCCCAAACCAACTTTCTTTATGTGGGTAGAATTGTCGCAATGGTTCCTTTCATAGCCCCAGCCTTTCTGATTCATTGACCACTGTCATATATTCAAAGAGGGGCCGTCAACCCAAAGTTACTCTAGCACTGAGGAGCCTGCAAATCAGTAATACATAATTCAACAACCAATCTTCAACAATTTACATATGCCATATTTACAATACCGCCTCAAGACATCTTTGATCTTATGTCTTGGCAGTGGAAATTTATTCAAGTACTGTTTGGCACTCAACGTAACCTTGAATTCTCTGACGAGCGTTCCATGTATCAACACAGAAATGTAGCCGCGTGATTCTGGATTTAGAATCTGCTTTTCTCACACCCAGGAAATTTCTGACTATCATGGTACAGTAAGTAATGTCTGGACAACCAAGGCACTCATCGCTTCTCACCGTACCTACTGTTCTTTCAAATTCCTTTGTAAAACTAAGGTGCCCCCCCAAAATTTCACAATATATCATCTCAGCGATTTATTGATTTTCCTCCACGAAAGATCAGACCCTAGTTTTGGCAGGTCTCTGTACATATCTGTTGAAGCAGAATTCTGTGGTTACATCATGAACCCAAATCTTCAAAAGGGTAGGTCTCCTTTTACAAAAGAGCCAATATATACCTCTACCCTTTCCCTATCAGTCTATTCAACGGGCTAACTCAGAATCTGAGACGCAAGTCTTGTTTCTTGTAGGCCGCTTATGTAGCCATGATTCAAGATCTACGATATCAATTAGCTATTTGCTCCCGCAGATTGTAGTGTTTGATGATGAAGGTAGTTGTTGCTCCCAGCAATGGCTCCGTTTCTACATATCAGTAATTTGCTGCTTTCACAAAGCCTTGTCGTAGTCATTCCACAGCTCTTTATATCTGTAGAGCTGATCTATATGTCCTTTTTGACTCAACTACGTTAGTTGCCATCCCCGCTGACCCACGGACCATTTGGTGGATGCATCAAAGTCCTCATCGTGCTCTAATGTCTGCTCAATAATTCCGATTCTTTTTCACAAGCTACGTTCATTAATACAGATTGGGGTAGGCCAGTCGGCCCATTGTATTAGTACTGTACATTAGGAAAAAGTATGAAGGCGTCTTAATGAATGGTAGCCGCTATGTTAAAGATGACTATTGGCGCAAAAAGAGGAATTCAGCGTTGTAAAAACCACTCAACAACTCGAGTACTACTCCGAGTTACTCCGAGTTGAGTTGAGTTAAGTATGAGTAGTAGATTTGGTTGAGTTGAGTTGAGTAGTGGATTTGCCTACCTTGTACTCAAGTACTGATCGAGTATACGGAGTAAGTTGGGCCGCGGGTCGGGTGGACGGTCCGACCACTCCGCGATTCATTGCTTGCGCTGCCTGTAGGTTGACCAGGCGTCCGAATCTCTCAACCCATCTCTATCGCTGGAGGACTTTGGACATTTGAACTTTCATCTGCTATGGTCTGACACTAACACCCTGTTGGGTCATATTCTGTGGTCTAAAGTAGAAATAACATCCAAGTATATCGCTAAGTTGTGACAGTTGATTATAGAGAGATCATTCAAGCACACATAGAACATGGGATTGTTGTGTACGTCATACTTTGGATTGCAACGGAAAGGTTGTTCAATTCTGCTTCCAATTCTGGCATACTTTTCAGTAATATAAAGCATTCCATCAGAGCCCTCCAACGAAGAAACCCAACGAGCCCCTAGCCAGGGTCAATTCGGAGATGTTTCCTGTTCTACACTCTGGTCTGAATTCCTTCCAAATATAAACTAACACCCCTCGCAATATACTACCAATCCAGTTCCATATATATTTTCTTGACAACTGATAGAAGTAACAACTGACTAGTTCGCTCGCCATCAGTATATAGTCTTGGGCCCTTTTATGGCACTTGCGGCATAATTTCCCGGTGATTAACAACCCCCCGGCTACAATTTGGACCTTACTATTGAGTTCTTACGGTATAAATACACGTTTCCCAGAGCAGGGGGGACTGTCCCTTGACCCAATCAAGTAGCTACTATAGTCGGCCGAGGAAAAGCCGTCTAGAATCTAAATCTGGAATCCAGCAAGCATTTTCGATTTAATTGCTCCGTACTTGTACAGTAGTTACCTACTTAGGTACAGTACAGTACTTCGTATATACCGAAGTAAATTTACCAAGTAAGCCCCAGGTTCACTACTATAATGCCGTTGTCCAACTGGGGTTCACGCCAAGCAATCCCACCACCCCGAAAACTCAGAATCTACGTCAACTTTCGAAATTAGATGGCTTAGCATGGACAGCCCGTCCAACGACGAGATGGCATTGTATACTCCTGACATAATCGTCTCTCTTTCACTTTATCCCTTACAGGAAGTTCCTCATCGCTCAACGTCATAAGGAGACATTTTCCGAGTATTGAATTCTCGATAGTATTGTAAGAATGACGTCTATACCGGTAGTCTAAATGTAACGTCTTCCTGTCATCGAAGGAGTAACTACCTACCTCTGTCAGTTGAGCTTTGCCCACAGACTTTGCTACTGGTTGTGATTACTCAAGACAACAATCCAATAACCTCTACTACAATAACCAATTACACACAGATCACTAGCCAAATTCTCCACGTACAGCTTCCATACCTGATTTTCTAATTATAAGTACCTGGCCTCATTCTAAAACTTGTTTCAAATACTAAGGCGAAAGTCAGTAAGTAATTCCTTTATATTTAGCGTTGAAAGGTAGCGTACTTGCAGAGTTCCAATCCCTATACCCCCTTCCTCCGATAGAGGACCTTGAGAAAATGTCACTTGAGCGAGCATTCTCTTTCGTTTTTGTAATTCGACGATTTGCTGTTTATTAGTCAGTGGGATTTAGATATTAGAATTTATAGACAGAAAGAGAGGGGGGGACAAGGAGGTTAGTTGGTCTATGGCCAAATCTTTAGTGAGATTATCAAGGGGGGCGGGAATTTGAATGGAGCCGAGATAAAATTCTTCATCTCTCCGTCTAATTCGTGAGATAGACTCAGAGAATAAATTCAGTCATCTCAACGGGCTCGAATAATCACAACCCAGTGAACTTTATTCCCTCAAAAGGGTGAGGGAATCTTTCCGGAAGGAAGTTCATTATCCTAATGTATCCCGGTCGCGAATCCCTACGCCACTAGTGGGACAACATGAAAGAGCGGCGCTCACCTCTTCAAAGGAATCGCGTATCAAAAATCGGACGGTTGTAACATTTCGCTTCTGACCAACTCGGTGAACACGACAAAGGGCTTGTTCCTCAATCATGGGATTCCAATGAGGCTCGAGAAGGTATGCTCTAGAGCCAGCTGTGAGGTCCAATCTATCACGTAATCAGTAGATTATTCCTTTGTTGGTGCTCTACATTGAAATTTACCCAGCACCACCGCACGTGATGGAGACGAGAATCACCCGAGTAGTGTTTTCACGCTGAAATTCCCGCATAGCGGCCTTTCTTCTCAGGAGGGACGTGTTTCCATCTATTCTTATATATGGAATCCCAAGATCTTTCAACATCAACTGAACTAAATCGAGTGTGCTGGTCCAGTAGGAGAATACAACTCTGTATCATACGTAAGTTTTGGGCTTTGTTACAATACAGGGAAGGAACGAACCACTTCTCATTTTCGGTATGTGTAGCCAACTCTGTTGCGAGAGCCTTGATCTTCGTGGGGTATACTCCGTAGAAACTGTGGGATCTTCTCCTGTGGGTGTAGCGGGACTTGAACAGCTGCCGCTTCCCAGTGACTCGCTGCCATCTCGTAACATTTGCGGCATTCCACTGAAGATCTTTTGTGATTTACATTTTTCGCATATCACGGGCTCCCAACAGTCACCTTGATGTTTTCCATCAATTGTCGTGATTGAAGACTCCTCCAGAAAGTCCTCGAATAGGTCCGCTTCGCATATTGAACATGTCTTTCCGCCGCCGAATAGATTTTCCAAATTGGCATTGGGATTTTGAGATGTACGACCCGTTGTCTTTTTTGCGGTACACTTTGCAAGTAAGCCATGGTTGCAAATTAGCCGCAAATTGTTCAAAAGCGATAAGGCATTAAAAGTTTTGGTGCCTTCCTTTTTTGAAGAGATGGCTTCATCAAGTAGCTTTCGTGATTGTGCCTTGGCTGCATCGTAATTCTCCCGTTCAGCTGCGGTAAAATCCAGATGATGAACCTCATCAACCCGGTTTGGGAGACTAACGACAGCTTTGGTACGACTAATGGTGATGGCGCGTACTAAAGTCTTCAATCTTAGAAAACCTTCTGCGCTTGTCCCTTGATCATTCTGCCAAGGCCGGAATATTTCTTCTTCGAATGTGCTTGAATTAGAGTAAGGATGTACTTGTAGAAATTTGACAATGCTCGCAAAGTCTGCAAGCTTGTTTTGAATTGGCGTTCCAGTAATAGCCCATCGCCGTTTCGAGTGGAGAGCAAAGCATACTTGACTCAACTGGCTTCGAGGATTTTGGATTGTATGGGCTACCCAAATCAGTGGTCCGTTAAAGAGAGCAGGAGGGCCTTCTTTACCTTCGTCCAAAACAACTCGGTACCATCTCGATGCGAATATTGGGTTATCATGTCCATCATCACGTGTACGCTTTCTCGAAATCGCAGAAAGTGTATGGTACGTGGTAATGACAACATCGTATCCGGCAAAGTGATCAGCTTCCTTTTTGTTTTGGCCATGATAGATATGGCAGTTGAGCTTATTGGGGAACACATGCCTGATAAATGTTAGTTTCAAGACCATTGAAAATATTAATTACAACTTGTCTGGCCTTGAACATACAAACCAAATTGCTTCTCCCAAACCTGGAGTACTATCATGATGTTAGATAACTGTCATTGGGGTGCACAAGATACTAACGTGCTGGAGGAACGACGAGTAGGGTCGCAGTCGTGGGCCCAGGTATTTGATGCGACGGTTCTGTATTGGAAGATAGTGTCGAGGACTTCTTGGTGGATGCGATTAAAGCAATCATCGACAAAGTCTTTCCCAGTCCCATGTCATCTGCCAGTAAACCGCCCCGGAAGTCTGGAGGGGCTTTGGCTGAGCAATATCCGTTGACATTCTTGATATAGCTTGCCTGGTCAGCAAAAGAGGGCAAATGGGTTCTGATGAAACTTGCCTTGAGCGTCCTATGTAGTCTGTTTTCCTGGACCATATATCATGAGTGCTATCCAGAGCCCACCCTTCTTCTCGTTGAATCATGAAAGTTAAAGCCTGTGTTTGATGGCTAATTCAGTCATTAGCGAAATATGAAGTGAAGAGTGAAAAGGGAAATTCACGGAAATAATGGTGTTTTAATAATATCCGATGGCTGTGTTTCATGAAGAGGAGTCCCCTCATCCATCAATTGAGCGAGCAAATCTGGTCCTATGTCCAGTCGTTCTATCTGCGTATCTACTTCTCCACATACTTTATCAAACGAATCCGACATCACAATCTCTCCATGTTCAGGTGGCATAACATGAGGATTCCGGTACGGAACACATTTTTCACAGCCACGTGGATCTTGAAGATATTGCTTATGCTTGGCCAGATAATCCCCCACCTTGTCCTCTAGATCTTCTCTACCAAAAAGAATTGCATTCAAAAACCAAGACCGGATTTGCTTTCCGCGGCTTTTACTCGTATGTGAAGCACCGTTCTGTATGGAGCTTTCAAGTCTCGAATGGCAGTAGAGCTGTAGGTCAAGGTCGGGAACGGCTTTTATATCCCCTAATATATGAGCCGATCGTGAACATTGTATCTCGAAGGATGCGGTCTCAGGCGTTGAAGCATATTCGGATCTCGAATGGAGAGAATTGGGGGAGCGGAAGTCCACCGCTATATTCCTGAAGCTCTGGGGAACATGCGATAGCAATTTCAATGGTATGTCCGACAACTGCGTGGTCTACAATTAGATCCATGTGAAGGTGAGCGTCTAGGGGAGCGAACCATTCCGTAACAGCATTCCGGAAGCTCAAATCCCGGAATCGCCCCGCCGCTATCTGAGTGGCTCCCTCCATCCGCAGTGCTGCCAGACTTGTTCCATAACTGTACGTTACCAGCATCATATGCTGTCGCCGTCGTCGCTCCATTGCGCGGAAGGTCGAATGGATGCTTCGATGCCAGGTGGGTGACGATGTCAAGTCGTCGCCGTTTGGGTGGTGGTGCATGTGCAACGCCGCAGAAATCCATGGCCTGCAGGCGGGGTCAGGACTCAGGGGAAACCTGATTTTGGTGAGTGAGAAATGGAACAAACCGAGCGAAATCGGTTCTAAGCCTGGAATTCTTTGGCAATCATATTTACAGTCGGATTGACGATGTCTTCATCTCCTACCCACCAGCTTGATGTGGGGGCGAAGCAGCCCGCCCGGTCATGGTTCGGCTCGCAGAAAGTCCATCCATCAACGTGATGCACAGCCTTGCTACATGACAGTCGACTGCATCTTGCTTGTCCGGATTCCCTTCTCTCCTCCTCTTAAATCCACCATCACCCTTCATCGTGCCGGCACAGTATGGCAAGTCCCACAGATGTTATTGCAGATGCATTTCAGAAGCTCAAACGGTCTCTTTCAGAGGACGATGCGTATAACTTTGCCTCGACCGAGTTGCAAGATGTGTGGGTCACGGTGCGAGAGATAGATAGTGAGCAACGAAAAAGACAATCTGCCCAGAACTTGCGAAGAGTGGACCCTTTGTTGCGAGGACTCGAAAAGTATCGGAAAGTGATTGAAGTGCTGTGTAATGGCACACCGTATATGCCGTATATTTGGGTATGCATTAACCCCTCCACGAGGACATGTGTAGCTAACTATGGCTAGGCCCCCATCAAGCTGATGCTTGAGGTTTGTGAATAATTCTTAAGCTTGCTCTACAGAAGCTAAATCTTGATCAGATTGCAATTCATCATCGAGATGTCTTTGAGGCTTTGCTATCAGCCTATGCTGATATTGCTGCTGCCCTGCCACGGTTTGACTGCTACAATAAAACCTTTCATGACAATCTAGAGTTTCAACACGCGCTTGCTGCAGTTTATTCAGGAATACTAGAGTTCCATCAACGTGCATACAAATTCTTTCGACGGAGAGGTGAACTAGCCCTTTCTCAATTCGTTCTACGATCGAACGACTAAAGCATCCGAGGGCTGAGACAAGCAAATCAATTGGAGAGTAGATGTGGCTAGCCAGTGTTTGGCTATCTAAAATCTTTCGAAAAGGGGTTTGTTCTCTCGGGTGCCTTATGATACTTTCATCCAATAGCTACCATTTACATCCACATCCATTTGCAATTTGGCTTCACTGCTAACACCGATGCACAGCTTGGCATGTCATATTTCTCTCCCTTTGAAGGACTTCGGAGCACGCTTCGATTGCATAATCAATTCCTGAAGAAACAACGAGACTTCGTTGATATTGAAGCTGCTTCATTTCATATCGTCCAGCAGAAAGAGTCTCGTAGCAAATTGCACGAAGGCATTCAGCACAACACGAAGCTGGCACTGGCAGCAATTGAACAGAACGAAAAACAAGCCAGAATCTTTCAGCTTCAGCACTCTATCGCCTGGCTCGGTGTTGATGGGAGAGTCCAAGAATCGGAGTACGAAAGATTATCGAAAAGGCGGCAAGACAAAACCTGTGAGTGGATAATGAAGGAAGCCATTTTTGAAAATTGGATCAGAGATGACTTGAAACGATCATGCCTCTGGCTCGACGGGAAGCCAGGTTCTGGTAAGCCGCATGGGGAAATCTGCAGTCACTACTAACATAAAAACAGGCAAGAGTGTTATGTGCTCGTACCTCATCCAAAAACTCACCGCCATTCCCGACTTGACCGTCAGCTAGACTTGACCGTCAGCTATTATTTCTGCAATAGCAACGATACTGGCAAGGTTTGTGGCCAGATCTTGACAACTGTTGTGCTTCATATTCTTCGGCAACATCCCGATACCGCCGCCTTGATCACAAATGACTTTGTCTATCGCAGTTTGGGCTGTGGGATGCCACAGCTCAAAACAGTTATCCCCAAATTGCTTCAGTTAATTGGATACACAAGAATCATCGTAGATGGAATTGACGAATGTTCCAAGGAAAATCAAAAGTTAATAATGAAGGAGTTACAACCTCTCTTTATCTCCACTAATTGCAAAATCCTCTTTTGAAGCCGGAAAGAAGTGCATATACGAGAAAAACTCTCCAAGCAACCCCGAGTGTCGTTGGATGGATGCCAAGAAGTGGATCAAGATATTCGGACGTTCATTAAGCACAAGCTTGCAAAACTTTGTACCTCTGACCAAGATTTGCTTGACCGAATTGAGGCAATCTTAGTGGGAAGAGCAAATGGTAAGATTAATCCTTCCTACGTGAGAAAGTTGATCTTGACTGGATTTCAGGCATGTTCTTGTGGACTCAGTTGGTTATTAACGAGCTCAAATATTGCTACAGTGATGCAGCCATGGAAGAAACAATCCAAAATCTACCAAGGGGGTTGAAAGCAGCGTAAAACAACCCGGCTGATGTCTCTAGAACTAGCTAATTATAACTGGGGCAGATACGGACGCATACTGGATCGAATCATGGATCCTACAAACCCCCCAAATGCAAGAAACATGGCTATTCGCATTCTAGGATGGATGGCTTGTTCGTACAGGGCACTAAAAAGTTACGAGTTGCTGGACGGTATTGCATTTGATGCTACGAATACCATTCTAAACTCTAAGACCAGAATACGAAGAGACATACTAGATCTTTGCCGACCTCTCATCGAAGACAGCCCCACTGGCACCATTGACTTCGTTCACTTTTCAGCCAAGGAGTAAGCGCGCCGCAAATCTTTCGCACCATAGACTGACTCTCGTAGATACATTCTAGAAGAAGCTTACCAAGCCTCGAGACCTTTCATCTGGCGTGAAAACGCTCACTTGGATATCTCATTTTCATGCATCAGTGTTTTAGCCTCTTCTTTGGCATTGCTTCCGACAAACTGCACCGACTCCGAAAGGGCCGGAATCATCGTTCACGGATTTCACGGCCTTCACATATATGCCGATCACTTCTGGTATAAACACCTTCTTGAATATTGCGATTTCCTACACCGTAACAACCGTCAAATCTCGCTGGAACTTCTCGTTCAACTCAACAGACTGCTGAACTACAAGAAAGCCCACCCAGGATGTCTCACTTCAATAGCCGAATCGGGAGAGATGAAGCTTTTCACAAAACCACCATGTTTAGATGTATTAAATCATGCCCCTGAGGTCAAGGACTTGGTGTTGGAAGTGCTGGAGTTCAGGTCGCGACCAGACTTAGCAGCCAATTCTTCTGATAAAAGCCTTGATGGTAGGACTGTTAACTACATATTGCTCCGCGCAAATACTGACGGCAAAGCAGCCATTTCGTTAGCAATGTGCGATACCGATCCAACCCATTTTAGTGCTGCCCGTCAGTCCTACCAACGAACGACTGAATCCTTATTGCGAGACGATGCCTTAGTTCTCTTTCCGACAATTGAATTCAAACACTTGGAGGCTTTTCGAGACACATATGGCTCTACCGCCTTTGTATGCAGGTACCCAGGTTGCAACTCGAATACAGACGGCTTCGAAACTTCGGGTCAAAGAGCCCAACATGAAAGCAAACATCAGAGACGACTCCGCTGCGGTTTTAGAACATGCTTCTCTTTCACCACCGGGTTCGCAACCCGTGGACTTCTCAAGGGTCACAATGACAAGTGGCATTCGGCGGTTGTGGATGGCCTTAGCCTCGCCCAAAGCTTAAAAGCAGCATCTCCCGTCTCAGTACACAGTAACACGGTTTCTCATATTCTCCAGGACAGTAACCTTGATCTATTTGATGGATTCTTCTTTGGTAATGCGGACAATCTTGTTGCCCCCCAACCCCGCCCAAACGGTCAGCTATCTCTCCCTCTTGCAAATACGAATGTCGCCGCTTCTCAACAGCTGGACAAGCCTGCGTATGAGAATGTGCTTCAGGGTTTCGATTTTGATGCATTCCTTCGTGAAGGCGACGATGTGGAAAATTTCAATTTCGACACAGATCCCCTTATAAAAGATGTCCCCGCTGATCACGAATCCCCTCCGCCTGACTACCAAGAGCAGCCCCTACAACTCGAGCGACAAAACAAGAGATGGCTTATGATGGCTCGTGAGGAGCAAGACAAAATATGCCCATGCAGCAGCTTCAACCGCAAACAACTCCATCCCAATCCCCTTCCTATAACGAAAATATCTTAACCGATTTGCATAGGCAGCAGGAGGCACGATTAAACGGTTCTTTAAGTTGGCAGACTAGTTTCAACCCTAGGCACGCTAGAAACGTTTAGATATCTCGGGGAGGGTTAGTAGGGTTCACTATAATTATCGTATTATGAATATATTAATGATATAATATTAGCTTTTAACGATATTCGATATAATATCGATGTTTATTATATATAAGTTAACCTAGAACAATTAACTTGTACTTTAAACTAATTAGTACGCTTTACTTTTAGAAGCTGTGACCGTGTGGAGTGAACCACTGCTTGCTGTGATGAATACTGAGTCAAACCGGAAACTGCTATATTGAACGAACAACTAAGTGAGAGAAGAAGAGAGTTCCAGAGGAACGAGAGCCTAAATACAGGAGTCCAGTAGCACGCACGGGCCATACTACACGTGATCCGCCCCCAGTTCCTCCAACTCCGTAACAGAAGCTACTTAGGCGTTTATAAATAATACTACTATTAGTGTTATTACTAGTGTTACTCTTACGATTATATAAAATTTAATGAAAAATACTACTACTTAATTCTATACCTACTATTTATATTAAAACTCTCTTAGAGGTCGCGATTCGTTCCTACTTCTTTCTCCTTTTAACTTAGCCGAGATTAGGTAAAGTGATTATTATATATTGAGAGGTAGTATTCTAAAGCTCTAAAGTATTAGTTATATTTTAGAATATTTTAACTAGTAAATATCTAAGAGAGTTTATAGTGTAAAATAACGAGTTTACGTAATAATAAGTAAATCTATAGTAATAGGTATTATTATTAAGCTATATAGTTTAAAATACGCCGTTAATAATTCCTTTTTAGCTCGATAGATTCTAAATCGTACCTCTTAGAAACAGGGGTGGTTTAAGTAGAAATTTAGGGGGGAAGGGGGGAGTAAATTTCTATAGTGAAGATAAACATTAACTTAGCTAATATTTTTTCCATAAGTTATATATAAAGTTTTGCTCAAATAAATTAAAGCTATAGCGTGATACTAGACACTAGTAAGTGCTGCCTCGAGGTTTCTAGTTACCTACAGGTTTTACCTCGTACTACTTGCACGGGTACAGATATATATGGTCATTGGTCTTTCAATGAGAACCATCTGCGTTTATAAAACGTCGTCCAACGAATCTTTCCTAATTGGAAGAACTGGGTTAACCCTCTTTGTAATTTTAAAACGCGATATGTTCGTCTCAAACTTTCCACTTGGACTTAGTGGGCCGAAGAAAACCGTAATCTACTTCTGCGCATGCTGGTTTTACGTTGCTGAACCCCTGGGCTGCAAAGGCTGCTCCATCTTTCATCACTCCGACGATTGAAATACAGGAGCTGAAGGAAATAAAAGTGGAAGACGAGAGTGTTATGTCTGGTCCATAAAATTGAAGGCTTGGGCAAGGTTGTTATACGTCTTAGAAAAAATCTATCGCTACATCTAATCTCGAGCCATGTTTTGTTTGCCAACCATTTTTACATTTACATATGATTATTATCATGAACTGCTTAACCTTGGCATACTTCAAGGCTTCTGAAATGCCATGACAGCATATCTGAATGTGCCATTTGCAAATCCTCGTCGCATTGCTCTGAAAGCTTGCATGAACGCAAGTCCATCTCTGCCTTGAGCCATGGCGAACGCCCAAAGTGCTGGGTTTTGTATCAGAGTCCATGAGATATCCCTAGACTGAATCAGCATATAATCACAGTATTAAAAACTGAAGAGTTGACTTACCAAGTCTTCGAAACTTGCCTGCTGATATCGAATGGCTCAGCGAACACCTTCAACCCGGCGCTTTCAGCGTGACGGACGTAATCGGCCTGTGTACACAATGGAGGGAGTAACATTCCATCTGATTTCTGTCAGCTCATATGTTGATATATCCCCATGGGATATAGGAGTCAATTTGACTGACCTTCAATGGGCCAAATATCATCCTTAAACTGCTTCTCGCTCAATCCCTCGTCCTTAAACCAATCCGCAACCACCAACTTTCCCCCAGAATTAAGAAGCTTCTCCGAGTTCCGAAAAAACAACTCCTTATTCGGCAAATGGCTCATCGCCTCCGAAATCCAAACCCCATCAAACACCTCCACATTCGGCTCCGTAACAAAATACTCCCCCATCTTCTCCGCATCCAGCTCAATGAACCTCACCGAACCATCCCCCAACTTCCACACATCACCCCCCTTCTCCGACTCCACACCCCCCGCTTCCAATGTCAGTTTCTTGGCGAGCTCAACTTGTCGTCCACTGATCGTTACACCCGTGGCATGACATCCCCACTCTTTCGCCAGATACCGAGAGGTTCCGCCGATTCCACAGCCGACGTCGAGGATCTTGGTTCCTTTTGGGAGGGCGGAACGCTCGAGGAGGAGGGAGATGAGTTGCAGTTGCGCTTTTTCTTTGGTGTCTTGTGGGGTGAGGAAGTAGCCGTGGTGGATGTGTTCTCCCCTTTTTGGCACGTGATTAGTTTGGGTTTTTGAGAGCGGGGTATTGGGGTTGCGGGGATGCAATGGGGTTGGGAATGGGGATGTACCACAAGGAGTAATAGTAATCGGATGCTAGTTCGTAATGGTGTCTTATTCGATCTTTGAGTGCGGCAAAGGAGATGAAGGGTTCGGGTTCTGGGATGGTATATTTCTCGATTACCTCATTGGGTTTTGGATCTGTGGCTGGGGGTGCGCTAGCCATTGTGAAGTTCGAAATGAATGAAGAACTTTCTCAATGGTTGAATCACTCGCTTGAGGTTTCTATAAGTTTCTGTGCGTTGAGATGAGTGATGGTTTTGACAATAGAGGGGTTCAAAGTTCCCAAGTACTGGTACCTGATTGAGGAAAGTGGGGTCCATGCCAAGCCTTAATAAGTCCGATAAACACAACCGAAAATGGAAATACATCAACAACTCCATGTCAGGATAGCATTTTCAAAAGCTGCTCTTTTTCTTTGGATTCGCATATCAATTTAACACTGAAGAGTATTTCTGTTGCCCAAGCATCACAAAATTCCATGCATTACGAACGCAATAATGAAAGGGAACAAATTCAAGAATGATGAAAGTTTATTCGCTGTTGTGAATGATCATCCTCAGACAGTTCGATACGTCGACTCCATCTGTTGCAATCCATCGCTTGTTCTATCGCAGCTCACTTAACGCCGAAAATCTTCCATGTTTTGCCTTCCCAAGAAGCTCATTGTCTCCCATGATCCTGCAATTCGTTTCGTCGACGAACTTCGTCAAGAGCCGCAAGTTGGTAATCGAGCATACCAAACACTAGTAATTTCATCAGTAATGTGAAAAGCTTTCCAAGGGTTTCTAGTTACAGTACCTGTACTTCGCCGTATATACCAATCCTTGAACATCAGCAGGGAGGAGAAGCCCACAATCTCCAGAAGATGATCTTTATACATCTCCCCATAAAACCAATGCATTACCAAAAAGAAAAGGGCCATTTCTCGGAAGAAAGCTGTGGCTTGAAGTGTACGACATCCCTCTCCAAGAAGCCAACGCATCCTACCATAATGTTGCCTGTTCCATGATTCCAAAGACACGCCGAAGAAAGCCGCTGCGGAGAGTATACTGGCTGCAGCCGATGTTGCAAATAGTCGCACTCCAATTTCTAGCATCGCGTTTATCTCGGTGGTTTCGTCTGATAATCTGCTTTTGAAAACCCAGGTAGATAGCATTGACCAAAGAAGAGCAATGAGTCCGTGTGCAAGGCTGAACTCGCGCATGTGCTCGGGTGAGTTGATGTAGTATGTGCCAGGCTGTGCTCGATTTTGTTGCACATACTCTCTTTGTGCTTGTGCTGGTTCCATATCGAAAATGTGGGGTCTTGGTGTATGGATTGTAAGAATGGGAGAGAAGTGTTTCAAGCGATGAATATTTTGAGAGCAGAGTAAAGTGTATTTGAGTATAGTGCAAGTAAAAATAGCTGAATGATGTGCAAAGAGAAGAGGACAGAGACCTGGGGAAACTGGTGGTTTTGAAGAGTTATCAAGGAACACTCGTACCTTCCCCCTTCGTGTAATTACTAGAATCGCCTTCATGTCTCCTTTTACTTGACTATCAAGCACCGTTCTTCGGAGCCGTCTGCTTTTATTTTGGCCATATACTGCACCACGTGTTCTCACTAGAATGCAGAGTGGTACGATCAGTTCCGAACAGCATCAAAGCCTTCAAAGAGCCCCTGCCCTTCAAGTCCCAGCGCTGATCATGGCGGCGTACAAATATGAAGAAATTTTATTGCGTCAAGATATGATGTAAATCGAACGGCATATTTCAAAGTACAAACAGCTAGAAAAAAACACACGAAGAGAAGATGCAGATCACGTGAGATAGAGGCAACGTCCACCTGTGATGAGATCATTAAAATGAAGACACGAAGTGGACAAGGGGCGCTACTCCAGTATATTTCAGATAATTTCTGGATTCAATATCTCTTCCGTTCTCTCTTAGTGCTTTCAAGGTCACAAACATTCCACAATTTACACAAATCAGGGGAAGAGGCGAGAAATCGACTAGTGTAGAAAATATAACGAAAGAAAACTTGATGAAGCTAAGGGCTGAATACAGTATATGGTATGCCTTGCCCATTTTCAGTTTTTTAAATGAGTCATGTAAATGGAAACGATCACCGAGTTAAGGGGTGAACAATCACGATATAATTGGCTGCATTTGTAATTTTGAGATAAAGAATATTGAATAGACTGTTCTAGGCATCTCCCTGGTATTCCTCTGGTCGCAAATGACTCACAGAACGTTCAATATCTTAGTCATTCTACAAGGGTCCATATAACTCAGTCCCTATCTACATACCTAGTGAACACATATCAAGTCATATGATCTGAGGTGAGTACTGTCACTCACTACTGCGCTCAATTCTGAATCGAATAACCACAAATAGCCAACATCCCATTTCCTCCTCCTCACAAATCTGGGTACTCCTTCCAAGGACTCCGTTCAGGAGGATCATCAGGCCAACGAATCTCTTTCTCAAGTCTCAGCGTTTCGCTAACAGCTCTCACTCTACCTAAGGCCTCTTTCAAAGACAGTGCTCTGGGTGCATCATTTCCGTCTTTAGCTACCCCTTCATTCCCATTCTCCGAGGACGGCTCAGGATTGCCCTTGAGATCATTCATGTATACGTCTTCGGGAATTCCTAAGAATTCGCGAATCGGACGTAATGAAGCATTAGCATCGTACCCATCCTCGACGCCCTTTGGGGCTGAAGTCGCAGCGGTCTCAAAGGCTGAGGTTTCGTCTTCGAGAAGGAGAGGTTCCTCGCTGTTTTGGATGAATTGGAACTCGTTGAGTGTCTGCCTAACAGCATCCTCATATGGATTTACACCTCGATATTGTGGAGCTTCTTCGTATTGATGTGCTCCTTGGTATTGCGTTGGCTGATCACATTGAGAAGCTTCTCCATACCGGGATCCTTCATATTGGGGTACCACGTATTTTGACGCTTCTTCATATGCAGTCCCTTGTTCGTACTGAGCTACTCCTCCATATTGAAATGAGTCTCCATGTTGCCCTTCGTCATATTGACGCTCCCCTTGAACTTGATTTACTTGTAAATCTGTCGGTACAAGCACTCCAAACTGCGCATCCAGAAAAGCACTTTGATGCACTCTCGGCCCCGGCGCATCAACCTTGAACGAGGCACCAAAGCCATCCGCCTCGCTTACCATCGCTTGGTGCTCGGGATTCCACGGCGCATCAGGACCAAACATACCACCAAGACGATTCGACTCATTAATCACGACATAATGGTCTGGATTCTGAGGACGTAGTGGATGGAAGATTAGCTTTTGGTCTTCGATCTTCTTGATTCGGTTCTTAACCGAGTTTGCGGTGTAGTCTCTTGGTGGATTCGGTAGGTTGAGGTCTTGGTCGAAAAATTTGCGATAGTCGACTTCTTTTTGTAGTTCTAAGCCGATGGCTCTACTTGAGAGGTTGTTGGACTTGGAGTGCTGCATCCAGTAGTAGAGAAGTCTGTCTTCAATTTCTGTCCAGCCTGGGCGGCTTTGTCTGGGTTGTCTTTCAAATTTCATATTGGATGCTGCTTGGTGATTCATGACGTTGAGTTTTGTGATATTAGTTGAGCTGTGGAAAGTTATGTTGTGTTGTAAAGTTGTTGTTGTCTGAAGAATTATGTGCAAGGAAAGTTGATGAGCTCAAGGTCTGGCACCACAACTACTTGCTTATGTACTTGTAAATAATCATTTGTTTATGAAAAAACAATAACTCTATCGCAGTGAATGTTCTTTTCATGAATGTGCAGGCTGTTCGGGTCTGAAACCAATCACGTACCATTATACAAGAACAAGGGAATTGTTCAGACGACCTTCCGCCATTCACAAATGGGAAGAGCGACCTATTGTTTATGATCATGTTTCACTGGTCGCTTGTTACCAGCGCAACGATAGTATCTAACAAGCGAGTGGTGATGCCTTTTTCTTACGGACAATAGTTGCTTCTTCTGGCTTTAGTCAGGATTTTCCAGCTTTATGGAAGCATAACTTTGTTACCTATGACAAAACGCAATAAACACATCTAGCTACAGCGTGTACTGCAGTACTTTTGTATGCGAATATCCGAGTAACCAAGATTAAACAGAAAGATCACTGCGTGAAAAGCCCGTAGTGAATTTTTGTTTATTAGATACACTAGAGTAATCAAATCACTGGGAAGGTCACACGCACAGTGAAGACTTGTTATATATACCGTATTGGGATCACAAATATTCACGAAGGTTAGGCAGTAATAGTTCTATCTACTTTCTCTTGCAACAACACAAGAAGAGGAAGAGTCTTCAAAAGGAGCAAACACACTTTTAATATACTTTGCCTATTGACGATCTCTTTGCTTCTGAATAATGTGACATTCTCACAGGTTATTCAACGTAAACAGATTTCTGTATAGAAGAGCAAAGTGCAGGGGGAACAATCCGTTGTCCTATTCCAACTTGGCAACGTTTCGTCACTCTTTTGGTGTCTACTTAACTGGATGACTTGTGATGACAGTCAAGAGGCACCACTCCTACCTTCCCATATCGTAAGAAAGTGCATCCCTCAGCTTTTAGAAATGGGAGAAATTCTTCCTTCTGACGATTAACATATATAGTACTGTCCCACGAATTAGCAAAAGCGAACAACCTATAAAAAAGACATAGAAATGATCCCTTCCATTCCAGCACCACCAGCGTAGTAGTTGCACCTCACAATTTCTCCATCACAGAAAGGAATACATACCGTTTAGTGCAAGTTGTCAATTGGAAACTACTTGTATCCCTTCTCCAAGAGCCAACAAGAATCTTTAAGCATCCAGGACTACTCAGCTTCAAGGAGGAACACATGGTAGCCTCTCCCCTTGAAGGTTCCTTCAAAACAACCACCTCGAACCTCGACATTTAAACCATCAAACTTAATAAGTGTTGTTGTAAATGTAAATAAGAAGAAGCCGTGAAATCATCAATTCCAGAGTATCTAGGGTAAGATTGTACAAAGTTCGCCATGCATGAATATATTGTTGCATGCATGAATCAAGCCCAAACCTGAACGAGTGAATCTCATCTATACGCTGTTCCGTTTACCAGCATAATAAAATCACATATTCAAACAACCATATATCCCCGAATCAAGGAAATTCCTAGAAGGAAATCATAAATTCGTCAATCTATCCCAATCTCCTATCTCCCGGATGACATATGAAATTCATAAGGAATAAACTTCAAAGCTACCGCCGACTCTGATGAGAATGCCTATCCCGCCGATCCGAATCCCTATGACCACTATCCCGATCACTTCTCCTCGAAGACTGATGCGTTGAACCCGTCACAGGCGCCGTCCTCGGAATCTGAGAATAATCCTGTGTCGGCCCCTGCGATGGTCCCTGGTAAGTATTCTCGTAACCCTCACCGCGATTGTTTTCATATCCACTGCTCGTGGGTCCACGATTATGATAGTATGGATCTCCAACATTCGGGGAAGGCTGATATTGAGAAAGGGAAATTGGATTTGATTGCGACGGGTAGTATGCGGAGGTATTTGCAGCCGTTGAAGATCCATATGGGTAATCACTACGTCCTCCATACTCGCCTGGGGACGTTGGATTGGGGTAGTTTGGAGCCCCGGATGGATTTTGGGGAGTTATGTAATCCTGTGATGATCTGGTATATGTATATCCGCCCGTGTTGGAGTTCGAGCCATATGTGGAATCAGTACTCGCTGAAGGATACCCAGATGAACTTGGGTCATATGAGGCAGTATTGGGATAATTCGACGATGGATTTGAGTAAGTAGAATAGCTCGGTTCCGATGAAGGGTTTCCTGAAGTTGGATTTATTGGAGCCTCTGTTGGGCCATAATACTGTCTCGACTGATGTGTGGTTGACGACCCATACTCGATAGTGGGGGTTCGTCCTCGCGAAGTCGGAGAAGACATTTCTGTTCTCCATCTTTCAGTATCAGACTTGAGATCTTCTATCATGGCTGTGGTCAAATTCCGGTACGCATTGATCAGATATCCTTGCCGCACTATGCGAGTAGTTGGGTCCTGATAATTCCCAATCCGTACTGATGCATCATTGCCCAAATAACGACCTATATCCGCCTGAATAACCTCCTTGTCAATACCTTCTTTCGGGAGGAAATATTCGTTTCGACGAGGTGCTACATGGGACCGGTGGATATCTCGGTCTCGACCTCGATGATCTACTGTTGGGCTTCTGGCAGAGGAAGTTTGGCGAGCGACGTATGGAACGCTTGGGGGTGGGGGCGAGGCATTCGAACCGGCTCCCTCAGGGGTTTGTACTCTTTCTGGGACGGGCTTTCCGAGTCATTACTAAACTGGTGGGTATTAATTTCAGACGGATACTTACAGATCCATAAACTCGTGAATTCTGATAAGGATCCATTATTTATATACGCCAGCGGCTGGTGGAAAGTTTCAGAAAAGTAAACAAGTTTGATAGGAAAGCAGCTGCCCCACAAATCGATCGGTTTCCTGTTTGATGGTTTGATGGCCCAGCAAATCAAAACAGAAGTATGGTCGTCGTAATATTCAATATGATGTATGCCAAAACAAAGGAAGTGATGAGTTCCACACTCAAATGGAAAATCTCAGATGAGGCTCAGCATGGAGCGAGGGGTAACTCGATTATATATCTCCAAGAAGCAGGCGGTTCGGAAAATTTGGCCATGGCTGCCTACCTAGGTAAATAATCCGGGTCGTGCAACTCGCAAGCGCCCCACTTGCATCGGAGAAAGAAGAACAAATCATCGAACGAAGATGCAGATTGCGTGAAAATCGACCAATAACAACACCAGTGGTCGAACCGCATGTGCCACGACGATGCAGCCCCCTGGCTGATATCTTGATCGTGCATTTCGGTGAAGTGGTTCATGTTCACGTGTCATTCTTTTTCATGCCCCATCTCCAGAAATCCTTCCATGGTCGAAACAGAGGTGTTGAAGTTATACAAAACTCCGTAAGGCACGGAGTCGATAGACGGGCTGCTGCTTGTTATACCTCAGTGTAGGTATCCTCTGGGATGTGGATGTTACAAATCGGTACCGAGGTAAATATCATCACAGTATACATGGATTTCTGAACCAACGTCACCCAGTTTAAGTCGCCGCTGCATTATTTTGATGTTGAAAATCTAAAGTGTATGTGTGCGAGTGACGAAAAGGGGGTAAGGTTGAGGGTTGTAGGAGGGGACGTTAAATTTATATTCCTGGCTCAACATCGGCATGACCGCGTCGGACCAAAGACTCAGTCGAAGGAAAAGCGGACAAGAATCTCCCCGAAGAGTGCCTCTACTTGAACATTCTCTTTATCGTTGCCCGAGCCTCAACGACGCATCGTGGTGCAATTTCAGTTTACTAGCAAACGCGGGGAAGAATTCAAATTGGGTTTAGCCGGTAATCTTACTGTACACAAAGGGTCACGAGACCACTCCACGTTGCCAGTCAGACGTGGGAAAACATACGGTAACGAACCTTGGAGCCTTAGACGTAAGAAATCAACGAATTTACAACTTCCGTAGAATTAGTAGACCCGGGCAAAGAGTTCATTTGTGTTCGATGTCCATCACTTTTTAATTACTCTGGGAATGCGTGGTGCCATTATTGAAGTTTTAAATTGACCCAATTTTCAAGTTAGTCGTTGTACCTTTTTCTTTGAGTAGAAATTTCAGAAATAGAAGGCATGGCAATTCTATTGTGATGACGGCATATAGTATGAACAGAAGTCTATTTTCTTCCCAAAAAGAGCGTTATCTCTCTTATGCTCGGATTTATTGTCATCTCCCAGCATATCAGCATCAACCGTGGTCTGCATTCCAGTATATAGTACTTGCCGATTATCTCAAGAAGAACGAGACTTCTTCAAAATGAAATATGGCAGGAATGGCAAATGAATGACGAGAAGCACTGGACGGGAATAAAGGGGCGATTCGCGTAATTTCTCGATTACCCCTGCTCAGTGTCAGAAATGATTAGAATAGACTAACTAACGAGCTCTTAATCTAAGTTATTCTAATCAACTAGACCTCCTAATCTTAATTAATCACTTGATTAATTATATAATCTAATTAAATTGATTAATACGGGCCGAACCCTCGGACCGGTGGACCGAGGGCTCGGAGGGTGCTCGGCGGACCACGTGTAAGCCAAGCGAGAGCCCCTATACTAGATACGATAAAGGACAGACTAGACAGCTAAAGTAGGTTAAAAACGCTCTAAGGAGCCTAGAATTAGACGAGAAAACTCTACTATATAAGTAGGATTAGAGGTGAGTCACATGATCGCACGTAACCCTATATACTAGTTATAACATCTAGTCTATAGGAACGTTCCTTGTCCTTAGTTATTAAATTACCTATTATATTTTAACTCTTGTTTTCTCTATTTATTAGCGTTTTAATAGGTTCCCTAAGTGTATTAGTAGCACTTTATAATATATACTATTATTCTAATTACTCAGATTAACTAAACGCCTGTTAATCTATTTAATCACCTGAAGTCGCTAATCTAAATCAATCAATTTAATCATGATTTAGTTGATTACTAATCGATTAAGTGATTAATTCGTTCTCACGCTGCCCCTGCTCCTGCTACAGAGCTATATCTGTCCCGGGGCTTTACAAACATACTTCTAAGCCTATTAGCCGGTCGCCCCTCAGGCCTCAGTAAGGCTTTAAGAGTATTAGGCTTGCCATCTCTGGTTACATTTTTGAGAGCTTCCAATGATTCTCCTCGTGTTCTTACAGCATGTTATCAGACGAATCGCACAACGTGGTATTCTGAGCAGAATTTGAGCTTGGATTGGCCTCAAGATTCCCAGTTTAATCAACCGCGGACGCAACTCAACTCCCCGTACGAGTAGTAGTCGAATATCCTCAGGAATTAAGACAATCACGGTAAGGAAGTGATGTTGGTTTTGGAAGGTAGTGCAAACAAACTGGGCTTTTCACAACCTGAGAATCCTTCCGTCCATGGCCCCCAAGTTACACAACATCCTTTTGAGGGGTATTACTATGCCGTATTTCCTACAGCCCAATAGATAATTTTCATACTTCTCGTTTCATAATTCAGAACGAAGGATCCCCAGACCCAGACAAAACCAGCCCAGTTCAACTTCAAAATGGCATCCGCAGGTATTGATCTGAGTGCCTTCACCAACATACCGGCCCTTCCACCTCCAAAAGGCGTGACTTCAAATTTCATCAACCCTGAGTCTCGAGCCAAGGAAGCCAGAGCCGCAATATATCTGTGTCTCTCTCTCATGGTAATCTCCGTTCTGCTACGTATATATGCGCGGATGGGAGTTAGTCGATCATTCGGAGCAGATGGTTGTAAGTACAGTCCTTTGTCCCAGTTGATGTACGGGTATACAATATTAAAAAAATACCTTGCTAACTCCTCAAGACTTTTGCATCGTTGCGGCAGTAGGTTCATGAATTGCTGAGTTTCCGGCATTACTCTCAGGGTGCTAATGATGGTGTAGATGAGTGTTATTGCCTGGTCGTCTCTTATTATAACAAGTACAAAAATAGCAGCCATATTGCTAAACTTATATCTGTGGTTGTTAATTTTGTGTAGTTGTTGGTGATCCTCTTGGACCACACTCGTGGAATGTTCCTGTATCCAAGATCACTGTTCGATTTCTCAAGGTAAGTATTCTTCAATCTGATATTCTTGATCCAACACTAATACTTATCGTTCTCCAGACCGTCCTCATAAACCTATGTTTACATCCGGTCGCCGCAATATTCGTCAAAACAACAATTCTGCTCCTCTATCTCTGAATCTTCCACCCCAGCAGAACCGCAGTCGTGATGATCTGGGCCGGGATAGTAATTATTCTGGGTTTCTATATTTCCAGCGTAGTTGCTTACGCAGAAATGTGTGCGCCACATAAGGGCGATGGTGGCTGGATTTCTTTAGGATCTCAGATCCGTTGCGGACAGCCATCTCTGAAGCCTTTTGCTATACAAGGGATCTTTAGCACTGCGAGCGATCTTTACGTGCTTTGCATTCCAATCAAATTGGTATGGGGCCTTCAACTTCCCTTCCGCCGAAAATTGGGAGTCAGTGCAATATTTCTCACCGGGCTTCTGTATGACTTCACAATTCTCTTGCCCAAGTGCACTCTAACAAAAATAGGGCTTGTGTCTGTTCTACAATAGGCGCAGTTTTTCTCATTCAAGAACTTGACAACCTAGATTGCATGTGGTCAGCAGTTCCTGTTTACGTCTTAACGTAGGTACCTCCATTCCAAACACGGTTTCTTGCTCATACTTTCTAGGGCGGCGGAACTCAACTCTGGCATCATCTGTAGTTGTATGCCTGTTGTCTTCGTTCTGTTCAAGGGACTTTCTAAAAGGTTTAGTATTCCTTCACTGAAATACTTCAGAACCAAACGCCGGCGCTCGGACAATAAAGAAGCTCCCTCAGCTCAACACTCGGATGAGATATTATTTGAGAACGAAATGCCCCAGGTTCCAAGACCACTTATCACAGGGCTAAGGTCTTTCATTCAAAAGGTAGATGGAGAACCCAGCAAGGGAATATCGACAGAAAGACCTACACAGCTTGAATCAATTCGGGGTTGAGACACAGAGAAAGGTCTCTAATTAGATAATGATTGAAACACATATTAACGCCCTCTAGGAACTCGGTGTCAGGTATTGTCTGATACCGTCAGGAAATTCCTGACACCTTCCTAATTAGGTATCAAAAGGTGGGGAACATAGGGATAGGACTAGGACAGAGGGTCAATAGCCTCTCCGATTAACTTTTAAGAGAGTTTTAGTATAATCCGAGCTTTCCGTTAGCTATCTGTCTATATTATAGAGTCTCCCCTCCCTTTACCTCGCTCGTAAACTATATGTAAGTACTTAGGTGTTTTCACCTGTCCTTCTCCCTCCCTACGTGTAAGTACTTAGTTGTTTCTACCTGTCCCTCCCTCCTTATAAGTACTTTCCTACTTTGCTGTCCTATTATACCCCTATTACCCCCCCCCCCCCCCCC